TCTACACATCTAACTAAACATCTTTAATAGAATGGTTTAGTTTCACTGAGAAAATATCCAAAAACATGTAACACTATTTCGATTTGCGTAGCGATCCTTTGTTTACATAGGTTGTACGGCTCCACGTGCTGTCATCGAAGCTGATGGAGAGCAAACGATGCAGCCAGTTTGATATCTAAATATGTACTGTCATAGACCTAACTGTCGCAGTTGTTGAAGAATATATATGTAACAATGTAAAACATTATGAAGAGAGCGCCGAAAAGCTTTCGTGAGTCCAGTCTCTTCTTATTATGAATATGCGCGTTTGATTACAAACAAGAGAAAAGTCCGGTCACGTGATATGCAAATTAGCCTGTGCCAGTGATGTTATGTTAAGTCATCGCTGTGCCGGAATGTGGTGGCTAGCCTTTGCATATGTTTAGTGACGGATGCCATCGGTGATGCCAGATGTCATCACTATTTCATAGTGATTCATAAACACATGCTCTGTCATCGTATCGCATGGTCACAATCACTGGATTGTCTGGTTCAGACTCGATTATTTATAAACAGCATCTCACAGCTGTAATACCTCTGGAACAAGTACATACTACAGTTTGTACTTAGAATATTAACGAATGTTGTTAAAACGTCACAATTTCCTCCTGTGAAGTCACCCCTCAAGTGCATTTTTTCATCTGAGCTTTAATATCCAACTAGGTAGAGTCGTACATGTATCATATATGTGCTTTTATCTTGTGTCAAATTCATCATATTGATATTGACGCCCAAAAGCATTTTCCAAGCATTTCTGGCCTAACTTAGTTTTTTTAGCCTGTGATTGTTGAGTTGTTTCGATTGTTGAATAAATCCAACTTTTGAATCATTCAAGATGGCCACTGTAACTTGAGCTGTAACGTGTGTGATTGCGATCCCTGTGAGTAAAAATTTATATACAAATAAATATACATAAAATCTTAATTTTGTTTGTTTTCTTTCACAGTGATGTGATGATATGCCGAATTGTAAGGCGAGAAAGCGATGGCCCTAATCAGCCACCATACCTTGTCGGGTGTCTCGATATTTTTGATTGGTCCCATGGATATCGAGACAACGGTGCTCGACTGTACATGTTCATGGTACAGTCACAGTGATACACTTTCTTATGGATGTGGTAAGGTTTTGTCGCTAAGTAAGTATATCTATTAAGGTGTAAGTACTTAGTTAAATCCACCTTTGAGAAGCAGACACTGCAACAAACGATGTTCTCTCTATTCAGGACACATAACAAGCACTGTGGGGGACAAAAACCTGATATGAGATTGGAACAGTATTTGTATGTACTGTTCATTACCAACGATCTTCATATGTTATCAATTGAGCGTTTAAGGAAAATAGTTTATTGGATATCAGCGCCATGCACATCTGGATATGTATGGTACACGACTCACGCCTGTGTGTCCGTATATTGAGATTAAAGCGCGTATCAATACAAAATATGGACAATTTAAACATCAGCCGTATCATCTCCCTCATTTTCCCATGTAAGTATTGTCTTAGAATTGGTCTTCAGCAACCCGTGGGTTTTTTTTTTTTTTCAGCAACCCATGTTTGTCGTAACAGGCGTGGGTAGTCAGGGTCGCTGACCTGTCCGTATCCCAATTGTATCGATGCTCTTGCAGTTGATCACTGGATTGTCTGGTCCAGACTCGATTTTTTACAGACCACTGCTAGATAGCTGGCGTTAAACAAAAATGTACAAAGTATTGCATTGTACAGCACAACAGTGTATTCGACACATCCGAATTCGAGACAACGGGGATCGAATATGCCCTTCTATTTCTTTATGACATGTGTATTTGAACAGAGAACTGATCATTGCCAAGGTATTAACATATTTACAAAGAATATTGGTATACAGCTACGAAAAACGTCTTTCGTATTTTATGTTTACTTTCAGCTCGACCGAATATCTTCCTTATGAATAGTCCTATTAATAGTCCTTATGTAGACAAACGCTTGTTACTGTATGAGACCCGCGGGGTGTTGTTGCCCGTCTGACAATCGTTCACAGGATGTATCTGACACAATGAGCCATTAAATACTGACAAATGAACTGTCACTCATGCTAGATCGATCAGGAATATAAGAAAAAAAATTGGGACAGAGTACGGGAGTTTTCTCAGTGTTATACAGAGGGTATACAATAAGGACATCAATGTATGTTTGTTTGTTTTTTAACACCGCGCTCGGCAATATTCCAGCTATATGGCGGTAATTGGGAACCGATGACATGTGTCAACCAAGTCAGCGAGTCTGACCACCCGATCCCGTTAGTCGCCTCTTACGACAAGCATGGGTTACTGAAGATCAATTCTAACCCGGATGTTGTATTTCTATAACAGATGAAAAGTATAAAATTACCTATGGCATTTAAGCAAGGTATCTGTGTATAGTTATCGCCTATTTCAGTTGACTGGTATGATTGAGACTGGTTGTTGACTGGTATGATTGAGACTGGTTGTTGACTGGTATGATTGAGACTGGTTGTTGACTGGTATGATTGAGACTGATTGTGTTGACTGGTATGTTGACTGGTATGATTGAGACTGACTGGTTGTTGACTGGTATGATTGAGACTAATTGTCGACTGGTATGATTGAGATTGGTTGTTGACTGGTATGATTGAGACTGGTTGTTGACTGGTATGATTGAGGCTGGTTGTTGACTGGTATGATTGAGACTGGTTGTTGACTGGTATGATTGAGACTGGTTGTTGACTGGTATGATTGAGACTGGTTGTCGACTGGTATGATTGAGATTGGTTGTTGACTGGTATGATTGAGACTGGTTGTTGACTGGTTTGATTGAGACTGACTGGTATGATTGAGGCTGGATTTGGTTGACTGGTATGATTGAGACTGGTATGATTGAGGCTGGTTGTTGACTGGTATGGTTGAGACTGACTGGTATGATTGTGAGTGGTTGTTGACTGGTATGATTGAGACTGGTTGTTGACTGGTGTTGATATTTTGTATGCCCTCACCTAAGCTTGACATTTGTCAAATGAGAGTTTGACATCAAAATGACGAAATATAAATGTCATTTCAATCATATCAGTTATTTACCTGATACTATAAAGTTTGGCTACGTCACTGAACGATTAAACCGTAGAGAGCCGTCAAGAACCGGGTCTTCAGTAACCCATGTTTGTCGTTAGAGGCGACTAACAGGATCGGGTGGTAAGGATCGCTGACTTGGTTGCCACAAACCATCGTATCCCAATTGCGTGGCTCGATGCTCATGCTGTTGATCACTGGATGTCTGGTTCCGACTCGATTATTACAGACCGCCGCCATATAGATAGACTATTGCTGAGTGCGGCGTTAAAACAACAAATTAACCAACAATTGAACGATTATACGGAACGCTGCCTCAGGAGATCTGACGCTAAGGAAATATTTATCTAAACAAGGCGTATCCCACAAATTATCGGTATCGTTTCTGTAACCCATCTAGATCCTACGTGTTCTGGAAGAAGCGGGTGTAAATGCAGGCTCTGTGCTTCATCAATGTTGGTCTCACTTTGAGAAAGTGAATTTACATTGACACATGACATATGTTATAGCTTAAAAATATCAGGATCCGTTAGCCGTTGAGTGAGTCAGTAAGTTTAAAAACAATTCGTTTTCTGGTCATTTGTCTGGTCTTCGTGGAATTCGTTCAAATGGTTCACGCTACATCGTTCGATGGTACCTGAACGTCTATACGACGTTGAATTACACTCCACGCAGTCTGAATATGGACTTGCGTGAAAATTCAAATCTACAGGAACAAATCTGATATTCTCAGAATAAAGATTTACTGTGACTGTTAATTATTAAATATGCATTAAGTACGAACGTAATAAATAAATTACAATTTTCGACTCATGTAAAAACCGTTGTACATGTGATTCAAATGCCGGGGTTAACGTGACGGTGTGCATTAGCCGATTGGCGGCTCTTTGACTGCGTCTCTGATAACGGCTATGGGTAATGAGTTTGGTAGATTGTGAAAATGATTGACACGGTTGCTGTTTACGACACACAACCTAAGACATGTTTATCCACGTTGCCCCGTGGGTCTGTGGGTCTTTCTTGCCAGTAACCACTGTCATGACTGACTCACCCCCTGCGAATCCTCTCCACAGAAGCTGCGTAAATCCACAGTAAAATCATGGTCAAGATGTATTCTAGTCTGTTTTATTATAAAATCAATATTATAAGTTCAATAGTATTCAGTTTGCACAAAAGGATTTGTGTGCGCATAACAGTTCTAGTCGTGGAAACGTAGCTGCACAGTCTTGCCATTCACGCATAGACAATCTCAGGTTCTTTGCTTAATACGTATCAGTAAAAGTCCACCTTCGCATAGTCAAATTCACAATTATTTTCAAATCACTAACACATGGAGTTAACAGTGTCTAAAGGGTATGTGCCTAAAGGGTTTTCAACGCATGCAGCTGAATCCAAGCCTTGGCCTCACAACATCACGTCCACCCATTTTCATTCTTTCAAGGTCACCCGATACAATTGAATTTCAAGATTTGTATCCAGTTTCAAAATATAATTACAATGTTCAGTATTTACAGTTTCAAATGAGTTTTAACTTCTGTGCAACCAATTTCCGAATCATATACATGTAGCAATTGTTTGACTGTTTATACCAGTATACCAGTAGGTAGCGTTCTTAACATTACTTTCAGATTGATATCAGAATCAGCAAAAAATGACACACCATCAACAAATAGAAGCATAAATATTTTATCAGTATCACAATCAACATGATACCATAATTATTATCAATCCTCATAATACTTTCTGGTTCAACTATGTCCATAAACAGTAATGGTGACAGCATACATCCTTGTCGAACGCAACATTTGGTAATTCCATAAATAACAGTTAATTCCATAAATATTTGTGTGGCAATATTTATGAAGAACACATATATTAGCAATAAAAACAAACTATAATACAGATATGCTGTTTGGAATTTCAAACCAAAGAGTCTTGCATTAATTACTGCTGTAAAGAGTTTTTCTTAATATCAATGAGGGTGCCACCTCAACACTTACTATGGTCTGTAAGACGAGCTTGCTTACAGAGAGAATACGTTGAATAAGCCCACTGTTCCAAGTCAGCGGAAATGTCTTAAGAACTCCATCGTGTCATATCGAGCTCATGGATTTCTCCAGTTTGGAGAATATGTTCCTCTTACATTAAGTTGACACATCATCATGCGATAAAGTGTTAAACCCCATTCACTCAAGGTCCATTCAGTCCATTTCTTCTTCTGTTATTATTTCTCAATACCATACTGGCTGAATGGGCTATATACACGTGCATCCTTCTTCAAATAATGCCTGATGTGAATCGGACGTATAAAACATCATGTACGTTAACCACGTCCTTGAAACCGTTTCATTTTTAACTAAAGACACCCTGCTGTTGGCATAACACAATGTAAAAATGACTTTGATATCTACACTCCAGACCGCAGAGCCAGAGTCAGTTATGCTTTCATCTTCTGAAAGAGGTATGACAAGACAGCAATGGCGTCTGACGCCAATAACGCGACAAGAGTGAAGGTGATAAGTATCACCCCCAGAGAACCCACAACTGCTGCTGAGGGCCGTGGGTCTGCTACACTTGTCAGTTTGCGTATCGTTGCCGATAGATATTGTTTGGGTAGTAATAGTTCCTTCTTGATGTCATTAACAATGCTTGTCAGTTTGGTGTTTGTTAAATTCGTTACACATGTGCAGATACATAACTGTTTTCGAACTGACGAAATTGATATTGACGTTGTTACTGTCATTATCGTTGATGTTACCGGCGTTACCGTTGATGTTACCGTTAGTGTTACCGGCGTTACCGTTGATGTTACCACCGTTACAGTTGATGTCACCGACGTTACCGTTGATGTTACCGTTGATGTTGCCGGTGTTACCGTTGATGTTACCGGCGTTACCGGTGATGTTATCGGAGTTACCGTTGATGTTATCGGCGTTACCGTTGATGTTACCGGCGATACCGTTGATGTTATCGGCGTTACCGTTGATGTTACCGACAGGTACGTTGATGTTACCGTTGATGTTACAGGCGTTATCGTTGATGTTGAGGGACCTGATGCAGTTGATAACGTAGACATTGCATTTGGGATGACAGCTTCAATGCTTGGTGTATTTGTTTGGTTTAATGTCAAAGTACTTGCGGTCGTGGTTGAACTAGGAAACATGGTAGTCGTGGTTGTAGTCGCTGTGCTTGTCTGAGTAGTAGTTTGTGTCGTTGTCGGAGAGGTAGTTGAAGACGTTGTTACTTCACTGGTTGTATGCGGCGAAGTGGATGTAGTTGTAGAAGATGGGACCGTAGTAGGAAAAGTGGAAGTAGTTGCAGGTGTTGTCGTTGTAGTTGTAGTTGTGGTTGTGGTCACTGCAGTTGTAGTTGTGGTCGCTATAGTTGTAGTTAATGTCGTTGTTGTTGGAATAGTGGTCGTTGTAGTTGTAAATGTAGTAATGGTAGTTTCACTTGTCGTTGTTGTAGGTGCCGACGTTGTGGATGTACTAGATGACGTTGTTGTCCTTTCCTAAAACATATCAAAACGGAGCAATTGGGAAACAAAGGAAAATGGATTGATAAGCTGCTACCGTGTTTGTGGGCTAATCTCATTATTTGTACTGAGCAAGAAAGGTTGAGGATATTTTTTTCGGGGTATATTTGTTGCGAAGATTTCCTGAATATTTTTCCTGAATATGTTCCAGAAAATATTCATGACGTCTAACTTTTTGTGTTGAGTTCATAACTCCTACCTATAATACATGCCGGACCTGGTTGTTTATCAGTCAGTGGGGCGGTGAGGTAGCCTTGTGGTTAAAGCGTTCGCTCGTCACGCCAAGGACCCGGGTTCAATTCCCCACATGGGTACAATGTGTGAAGCCCATTTCTGGTGTACCCCGCCGTGATATTGCAGGAATATTGCTAAAAGCGGCGTAAAACCATACTCAGTCAGTCAGTCAGTTTATTAGTTCAAGGAAGCTGTATCCAAGAGTCCATCCTGTCTTCAAAAGGAATGTATTGATCCGACAGTTTTGAAAACGACCGGCAAGGTATCGTCTAATAAGCCATGACGAACTTGTCAGCGTTTACAGGTTAGTTAAAAGAGGTCATCGAGAGATGACTACAACACTACAAGACGTCAAGTAACACGTGACCTGAATACGTGACAATGGAAACTGTTTTATCTATCAGTCAGTACATATGTGTAGAACAATACACTGACAATACACAGTGCAAGCCTCGCGTTTTGGGGAGTGAGTGAGTTTAGTTTTACGCCGTTTTTAGCATTATTCCAGCAATATCACGGCGGAGGACACAAGAAATCTGGTAATTGTTCGCTGGTGATGGGGAGGACATTCATCGGTCTATGAGATGATACAATTCCAAATATTTTATGAAATCCTCAGCTTCAAAGCTTTGATGAAATCATTTTACTGCAACTGAAATAGCTCATCTGGCAGCTGTTATACGAAAACAAATTATAACTGGTATGTGACGTTTCAAAAGTAACGTATAATTCGTTTTGGACGAAATTCCTAAATGATATTGTAAGCTACGTTGATAACGAAAACGCTCATACAAACTGACTGATAATTATTTTGCTCACTTGCTATATATTTTGTCGAACGGACCTAAATTAGCATTCATTATACCCGTAGTTATAGTCTGTTTGCAGTGGAAACGTACCGATGAATTTCACTTTTAACTAAGAAGTAAATCAAATATAGTGAAATTAACATTGCGAATCCTCATAATTTTACCTTGCCAATTGAACATTTGAATCTCAGAATTTTATTCATCTTAGGATAAAGGTTGTTTAACAAACGATCATAGATTCAAATCGCTATTATTGGTTTGTATTACAAGGGGGTAAGCGCCGTAGTTGGAACACTGAAACAAATGCAGTGCGGTACGTGATGAGCGTTAACTTAGACCAACTCTACTTGTTCTCGGTGTTTCATTTAATGTGCATACACCCTTGTAATACAAACCAATAATAACGATTTGAAACTATGATCGTTTGTTAAACAACTTTTATCCTAAGTTTAATAAAATTCTGATATTCAAATGTTCAGTTGGCAAGGTAAAATTATGAAGATTCGCAATCTTAATTTCACTTTATTCGATTTGCTTTCTTGTTTAAAGTGAAATTCATCGGTACGTTTTCACTGCAAACAGACTATAATTGTGTCATCACGTTTGTACGCAGACCTACCTCCGGCAGTGTCATCATGTTCCATCCTATTGGCATTGACCACGCGATTTGGTATGAAGTACCGTAGAGATAACCCCACAAAGATCCACAAGAAGATTTGACACGGAGAGTATGAGATGTATTGTTCAGCGTTACGTATGTCACAGCAACGTCATCGACGTCACTCCATGTTAACGTCGGAGACACTGAGTCCACAACAATGTCGTTTTTACACGCTGATTCAGCCAGTATGGCCATCGTCACGGGATAAAACCCACTGGAAAGTTGTGGGGCAGCGAAGACGTAGTTTTGAAGCCATTGTTCCTTTGGAGGAATTATCATCATAGACGGGTTTGTGTTATTTTGTTCACTTGAAAGATATGATTGAGACAATTGTGCCACAACAATCCTTTTATTTGATATCAACGTCGATGGAGAGGATGACGGTAATGGCAACTCTAGCGTATCTCCAGCGTTGGCAATGACGTAATCTACCGCTTGGAACGTTATTTTTGTATTTGCAAACTCTGCAACAATTTTGATCACGTCTCCAACTGTACGACCTGGAAAGGGCGCAAGAAAGTAGTCCATGCCCATCACGTGACTTGGCAGAAGCTGTTCCACAATGAAGTCACCCACCCCTCCTTTTTTAACACTGGTCAGGTCTGTTCCTACAAACACCCCAACTGGTTCGGAGGAAATAATGCGAGATCCCGTGAGATCTCCACTAGACTGCAGCTGGACTGTTTGATGCCTGTCCAGTGTGATGTTAACGGTATCGCCGTCGAAGAAATCTTTCCCCGAGAACGTGACTTTCTTATTATTGGATATTTTCAGATGAACGGTCACACTTGCATCATTCACAGAACTTACAACAGCTATTTCACAACTGTGTTCTTCACAGTACGTAATGGCGATGTACTCCTTAGCAAACGAATTCACTGGATAAGCTAAGAATGCACCGGCACTTTTGATAGGGCTGTAAGCGCTCTGAGTGAAACCCTGAACGCAAATATCACCACTGCTTATTACCGAGACACCACGATTGAAAATTCCCGAAAACTTCAGATTAATCTTCTTTGAAAGAGTGACACGAGTACTCTCCCCCTGGTTCACGGTCGTGGTGATGGTTGCCTGCGTTTCCGGTTCGAGAGGAGCCGATACAGTCACAGAAACCGGCGATGGCTCCTCTGTTGACAAGAACAGTTCCAGAGTGCTAGTATCTTGGACGTGTTCTATAAACACGACTATAAATTCTCTCCCAAACTGGTTCGGGACAGCTGCAACGAAGACGAAACACGGAGGCTTTAGTAAGTATGACGTAAATACACGTAAATAACAACACTATAATTTCATCGATTTCCTGATGTGTGCATCTAGTTTACTAAAATCTGACTTTGTTCTATAGGCCTATGTCCTTTCAGTACTGGAATAAGCGAGTGAGTGAGTGAATGGGTGAGTTTAGTGTTACGCCGCTTTCAGCAATGTTCCAGCAATCTCACGGCGGGGACACCGGAAATGGGATTTACACATTCTGCCCATATGGGGAATCGAACCCGGGTCTTCAGCGTGACGAGCGAACGCTCTAACCACTAGGCTACCCCACCGCCCCCAGTACTGGAATAAAAAGAGATAGGGACGAGATTTAAAATGCGAGGTAAAAGAAAGGTACGTGCACTTAAAAAAAAGGATTTGATTAAAATATACATATTACTAACGTTATGGTAGGGTTCCTGGGCTGAAAACAGAAGCTGAAAACACTGCAGACTTTAGGTCCAAAACACAGCAATGACACACGTTTTCTATCATCTGGGATTCGAATCCGCACCCTTAGATTGAACACTTAATCGCTGGCACACAAAGTCAGCTATTTAACCCACACCGCGGCTTTAAAAAAACTGGAAGCCTGACAACTGGTATTCAAGATCACGTACTGCTTGTACCCCTCTGCCAAGGCGCCTCACTGTGAGTGTTTGGATTCGTATCCTAGATGGGATTCAACCCAAATATATGTATTATTGAAGGTGTGACGATGGCATTTATAATAACAGTTTTATAGTATACGCTCAATGAACTACAGCTGCACTGGTAATACAGATACCCCGCTCCCACATAACGCTGACTCCGAACGGGGCACCTTAGTGGTTCATTTCTGGTGTCCCCGCCTAATTGCTTGAATATTGCTAAAAGCGGCGTAAAACTAAACAAGTACGTCCGAACCTTTTAACGTACGTGTATTGTATGTTTGTAAATCACGACCATGTATGTATACGAATTGGAATCAGTTGCCCGGAACTCAGCTTTCCTTATTAACGAGGTCGGAACTAAACGTTTGTTTGCTTGCTGTTAAGGCTGCAAGCAGAAATATTCCTGCTGTAAATAATCGAGTCAATCCAGTGATCAACAGCATGAGCACCTAATACGATGGGATACCCAATTGGGATACGAGAACATGTGTCAGCCAGGTCAGCAAGCCCGACCACCGATCCCGTTAGTCGCCTCTTAGACAAGCATGAATTGGTGAAAACCAGTTCTAACCCGGGTCTTCACGGGCACGGAACTAAATGTGTTTCAGTGATGTGTCAAGATAGGTGTACTCACCACATAAGCATGTACTTGATAGCAGGATCACGCCAAACACCACACCTGGACCCATCTCGAAGGCAGCTCACTATGGACAAGAAACGATTGAAATAAGTGCACATACAAAAAACGTGCAAAAGAAAGTAAACTTTCAAAAACTGAATTTATCCAAAAGATTACAACGTCAGCAAACCGAAACTAGCTCAAAGCAGTTCCCAAATTATTGCAAACGTTAGGTCCAAAACTCCGATACCTGTATCAAATGAACTGCCATCGAATAAACATTTGCGCGATTCATTGTCAGACACCATTAAACACGGACGTGTACTTTCTTTTGCCTGTTGGTTCACTATCAAAAACACACTGAGATAAAAATGTTTCATATTCATTTTACAGGTGAAAGCCACAGTCATGTTTCCTTAAAGCGGATACTTAGACTCCAACCGTTATCCTGAATATCAAATCTCCTTCCTATGATGGCAAATGCCCAGTTCTCATTACCACTTTCATTCCCCTTACGGCAAACTTAACGCTGAATTTGCCTCGTTCATCAGCTTGGAATTCTGTTACGATTACAAATGAATCCCTTGGAAGGATGGTCTTTATTCATAGCTGTTGCCTTGGACGAGTTATATACATGCTAATTGGAATCACAAGACTGAATACATATTTTTCTTGATGCCAGCTCGTAAGTAACGAGCTCGTGCGTGTTTCATTCCATAACAGCAGCAACAACTCTTTCCCTGTTTCGGAAAATGATTGATATATTATGCAGATGGCGTCTCGTATGATTTTAATACAAAGGATAATTGATTTTATTGACATTAATCCACTGGTTAAAAATTTAATAAATGTAAAGGAATTGTCATACATGCCTAAATTTGGAAACGTATAGAACACATATGTCAGAAAATGTATTGGAAGCGTTTCTGAGGCTTTGAATGTTGTAGCACTGATTGGACAACTTTTGAGTCGAATGACATTTTTTTAAATCGTCGTAGAAACTTCAATTCAGAAACAACGGCTGGAGCTGGTGGACTGTTGCTTGATATGAAATGAAACTATTGGAATGTTGATGATTCCACTATTCGTAACCTATGAGGCTGATTTAACAACCATCTGACCAGAAGCCTGATGCGTTTGTTTTATAAGGACACAGAAATCACAATATAATTACTGTCATCAGGGCACAACATCTAGCTGTTCATCAAGCATATTAATCTAACAATTACAGCGATATAATGTCTGTTCTTTAGGTTTTGAAATGTTTAATGACATATCTATGGCTTTAGTTTGATTCGGACTTTCAGGTTAAAATAGACCCAAGAACTACATAATTGTTAAGTGGGGGCTATATGGACGGGGTGTCGAACAGGGTAAATGGTTTATTACGTCATCACCCGACTTTGATGCTCGTAATATCAATCACTAGTTTATATGTCCCTGTTCAGTTACTTACAGGGCGCCATCACATGGCCGGAGTGCTACATTATACAACTAACATACTGATTATAACCATGAAGATATACTCAAAAAGGAGGTGAGGTGAAATTGGGTTTAACGTCGTGCTTGAGAATAGTTCGCTCATATGACGACGTGCATGCGTGTGTATGTGTATGTGCGGCTGCTTGTACTAGCCCAGACTTAAGCTGATTTTATAGCGCTAGCTCACTGAGATACCATGCCGCAGTGAAGCATGAATACCCCACTCAGACACATTATACTGACTCCGAGCCCACCAGTCCTTGTTGTACCCATTAATGCCGAGCGCCAGGCAGGGACCAACAAGTGCCATATTTTAACGTCTTTTGGTATGACGCGGTCGGGGATCGAACCCGCGACCTTCCGCTCTCCGGGCGGACGCTCTAACCACTACACCACGGAGGCGGTCCTCAAAAAGGAGAAACGCACATGCCTAATATAGGGAAATGTATTAAACGTATTCAAGTGTACATAAGTCTATTAAGCTTGAACATAGATGAAGGAAATTCGACACACAGATGAACATATGTATTGTTGTCACCATCAGCATCAATACAGTTCACTCACTGCACATGTGTGGCCACAAGGGGGCGTTCAGGTAAGACCCTGGTGACACCACCTCTTGCAGCCGTCACTGCTCGACACCGAATTGGAAGGGGATTGCACAAGTCGTCGGATGTTTGCTTTGGGAAATTCTTCGCGTTGGCAAGTTCTGCAAGTGTCTGAGGGCGATGGTGACGTTTACTGACGCGTCGATCAATTTCGTCCCATAGATGCTCGATCGGATTCAGATCAGGCGATAAGGTGAAACCACCCGGACGAAATGGCCCTGAGCAGGAGTGGTCATTCTTGGTCTTCACGATCTTGGGTCGAATTGAAGCGGGTATATCGATTCCATAATCGAGATATGGGCTGTGGTGGATGTTGAAGTGTCTTGCAACGGCAGACTGGGACTCCCTTGCTTCCAAACGTTCAGTAGCATTCAATCTTGGCATTCGTTTATGTCGTAAATTTCGCTATGAAATGATGAATTTGGTTTGACCTTTTATAGTCGATGACTCTACTCATGTTTCCGACACATTGCACGTGCAAGGTGCAAGAAAACCTTTTCTGCATGCACTTTTCATGTATCGTTTTCATTTTTATGACAAACGTTTACAAACACATTTTGGGATGCGTTTTCGCGCAATACACAAACACCACGACATGATTAACGGGATTCAATGTCTTAATGCCGATTGTTGTCAAAATATATCGAAATGAACGGCTTAAAACGCCGTTCATTTCTTCTTCTTTTTTAAGAGTGTAGTTTCCAATGATATCTCAAACACACTAGCTTTAATAGATACTTTACATAACAACTGAGATAAAATCGAAACTGACCACGTCCAATAAGAGTATAAAAGCGCTCATCACGACCAACCTAACGTGCAGGGTTTGAACGTATCACTGATCATTCTTATCATGATTCTGTATAGAAGAAGCGTTGAGACGATAATTGCACTCTGTTCGAAAAAAACCTTCCACATCAGAAATTTATGACTATGACGTGTAAAGGTCGGTGGCATGCAGTTTATCACTTGACAGAAAAGGAAAATAAACGACTTAAAATAACTGATATCTGAGTGGTCACATGTACACATCAAACATCAAACATTCCAGCGAACAATAAATTTTGCACAATTAATGTGGCACATAAAAGTGAAGCCCATGTTTAGTATTCGCTTTCTCGCTGGATTACTGCAAAAAGCAAACTTAACAAACAGTCAAAAACGTGGATATATAACTTCCATTTGTTGAACAAGTAAGCGCTTATTGCTGTCTCGAAGAAACCACTAGTCCCTATCCCCGCTTCATCTGTATTCCTCATTCTTCGGTTGTGTCGAACTTCGGATTACTCGAATTATCACTTTGGCCACTTCTTCGACACATCGGTGTTTGGCTGAACGCACTTTTTCACTCAACTGGATTATGTTCAAAGCATTGAAAATGATTTTACATCACTTCAGTCATTAGCCGTCCACTCAAACAAAGGTTTGACTGAAGAAGTCGTTATGAACTATTTGTTCTTCTAAACACAGGGACGTGTAACGTCAATAACTGATATCAAAGTATACAATTGTTACTGATGGGGTCTTAGCACAATGTAAAAGGAAAGGGATGTAACGAGGTCAACACACCAAGTGTTTTCAGGACGAATTCCACAATGCTCACTGTATATAACCCTAATGGGTTATCTACAAAACTAGACATAGATCACAAAAATCGAAGCCGTACTTGGGAACTAAGATCTTCGGAATGTTGTCGAGATTTTTCGATTTCCAGCCAAAATCCCCCCTCAGAATATACCCGTGAAGATCCGGGGGAGATCTTTGGCAAACCATGCTTGTCGTAAAAGGCGACAAACGGGAACGTGTGGTCAGGTTCGCTGATCTGGTTGACACATCGTATCCCAATAGCTCATGGGCTTGATCACTGGATTGTCTGGTCCAGACTTGATTATTTACAGACCGACGCAATTTGCTGCGTTAGTGCTGAGTGCGGCGTTTAAAAACATACAAACAAATAAACTCTTTAGACAGTATAAATGCAACTAAAAAAGAATTTGTCCAGCTAACTCACCGAATTATTTTTTCATCGTCTACACATACGACAGGCACCATAAACACGATGAATCCATGGCACCTGTCAACGCGCTAATCGCCATTCTTCCCGAGACACTTAATCGTAAATACCATATTATAATAATGAGTTAACGTACATTTAATCATAGCTAACTGGACTGTGTCGTGTCAGTTCGCGATTGACAACATTGACCATGATCACTGCCGCACTGACAAGAGCCAGCGATCTGATTATCTATAAATAATATATATCTCATCAGATTGTTGTACTTCAAAACAGATATTGTCCTTCCAGCTTTGTCCAAAAGCCACCTGCGTGGCCTACATGAAACGTTCGCACTGCCCATCCCTCAAATAACATCGCAGTAGTATGAAAGCATCCCAATATAAAGTGTTTGACCAAAGACCTTGGTGCATCTGACACATCAAATAATGCCATTTATAAGGCCAGTATGTTAACTGAGAAAATAATATGCTAAACCACGCATTAATACTAACAACGTTTGACTGCTTCTAAGACCCTCTTTCGTAATGGATTAAAATCCGTACAAAGAGAAATATTGGCTGGGTCAAGCGAATGTACCTCTGACTTAACCAGACTCCTCTCTGCAAGCAATGACGAGGTTGCTTTGTATTTACAGAAACGTCTTGGGACGAGTGGAATTAATACTATATAGATTCTCAAAACCTCAATATATTTTTCTTAAGCTATGTAGTCACAACTGGGTGGACTGGGACACATAGTCACAGTACTCTGTCCAAGTTTACTGCATGTTGCCGCAACTAGGCAACTAGGTGTTTGCACGTATTCATGTGGCCACCATCTGGTCATATACCAACGGATTCGTGGGTTCTTTTACGTGCACAGGGTTGTGTACTGTACACTAGGGTTGTGGTAGCACTGAAAGAGTCTGCACACCAAGTTGACTTCAAGGTTTTTACACCCGGTCACAGGTGGGCTCGATTC